CCGGACCAGTCTGTGATTATGGACATTTTCACCCAAGTTGGAGGTCATTAAAAATCGTGATAAAAATTATGAGTAAACTAGACACATTTTGTGAACTCTCAGAATTTACGGATCTAGTTTTCGACTTCGTATGATTTTTCTATGATTTTTACAAAACTGGGCAGAATTGCTAAAGTTAGCCAACAGCATGTAAATATCATAACACTTTGTAATATGTTGAGCAAAGTGTATAATCATAAGTTCTAATATTTGAATGTGTTTCCTTGTTAGTTTATCATTGTGAACTGAAACTAAGTTATTCATATTAAATATTATTCATTCATTTAGAACACGTATTATGTAACTATAAAAAGTATAGTTGGATAAATTCACAACACTAATACATTTCCATAAAAAGAATTCATACATATTATATACATTTTAGATAAACTATAATAGGTATAGTTTATGATACATCACTCAACACACTCGTACAAAAAGGTACATTCATACAAGAAAGATTTATATCCACACACATTTCACGTAAACTTGTTAACCTATGTTGTGAGACTCTCTCTCCCCGTACGTCCGAGTGCGGGATATAATTCCTGGTAGTTATAATCAAAATCTCCTTGAGGGAGAACGTGATACTTGTATATAGATCTATATTGGGTTTGACACCCCACACCTTGCTGCTAGCTACAGTGGGACCTGCAGGTCTACGGGTGACAAATGTCATTTCATTTTCGCGACGCCTGAGAAGCGTTGTGGCAGGTTCACATAGTCACAGTATGATTATAGCGACTCACCTAGGGAGATAACAATTTATAAAGTTTACGGGGTTTCATAAAACCGAAGTAGGTTTTAGGTTGATAAAGAAATTTACTTCCATATCATTTTAAACTCACGACATTTCTACTAAGAAATGATGATTTCTTATACATTTTAGTCTTTGGTTATAAGGCTACATTTTTTGGATTCAAGGAAAATATCGGATTTTTCTGACACAAACGCGACATTTACACGTGATAGACTTCTACTAAGTTTATTAATAAAAGCTTATTAACTCACCAACCTTTGTGTTGACACTTTTCAAACAACTCGTATTCTCAGGAAAACACTAAACAGGTAATCAAGTGCTTTCGAGGATGGGACGTTAAGACGTCAAACTTTTCATATTTTGTCAACATATTGTAATTGATTTTGAAACATGTAATTCATACAAGTGATGTAACTTTTTCAATTATATATATGTTGGCTGTGTTTGCTTAAATTACTATTGAAATTGTGGTTATGATACTGTACATGAAGTCCTCCACCCCCGGACGTTTCCGCCATCCTTGGTTTGGGGGTGTGACACGCTAAATATTTAGTAATTCAAATTTATTTAAAGTAGTTACAAATTGATAAATAAAGTCAAGAAAGAACATAGAGTAACGATGTGTTCATAGTATAATTTTAACTTAAAATTATATACAAGGACTAAATATTAATAAACTATACATCTTTATGCTTTTTCTGTTTAAACCGAAATTTATATACAAAAGACGTATGGGTCATGTCAATATATATGATAGTGGCTTATGGTGTCCATGGATGACATATGGGTCATTAGTCCACATGGTAATGGCTTATGGTGTCCATGGATGAAATATGTGTAACGACCAAAAATTTCAACATAATTTTAAACTTTTCAAAACAATCCATTTTAATAACATTATTACAAAAAGGTTTTCAATACATTATTTATCAGAGTATTCCCAGGTTCATTTCATAAAACATAAACGCGAGGAATGGTACGATCACGCCTTTGCCTTGCCACAGTCTCCGGAAGAACCTGAAAAACATTAAACCACAACTATAAGCCCGAAAGTTTAGTGAGATACCCCCAAAATACCAACCACATATGCGCCCTTCCAGGCCACGACCTTCCGGTCCAAAAACATATTGCCTTCCGGCCCATGACGTATTGCTTCCGGCCCATAACAGATTGCCTTCCAGCCCATAACATATAAAGCATACATAACATAACAGAACATAGAACAGTCATGCATAACAGGTCAATCTCCAGTCTAAACAACCCTTAAACAACCCTGTGCACATAACATTCAATCATATAACAGTTCACAGTCAACAATCGATCAAACAGATCACATAACATATCATCACCGTAACTAGGATTCCGACCTAGCCGATCACAAGCATATATCACCCTACATCTTAGTCAAAATACTACTTACATACATACGCCTTTCCAAGCCATGACCTTCCAGTCCACATAACGTAGAATGCCTTCCGGCCAATATCATAATGCCTTCCGGCCCATATCATAATGCCTTCCGGCCCACATCAAGCAATACCATAACAAACAACTACCCGGATTTCCATCCGGTAAAGGGTCGACCTTGGTGCCGTAGACCCTATCGATATAGTGAGGATAACTCACCTCGCGAATGTTGATACTCTGAACGGAAGAAGCAGACTCTGAACCACCAACTCGCTGCAAATCCCGAACTAACCAACATAACAAGCATAAGCATTAGGTCAACATACTTCCACTTATTGGGCCAAGACCAAAGTCCCAATCTCACACAAAGTCCAACATTGGCCTAATTTACCAAATTGGGCCCACCTCACCAAATGGGCCTAGATCCAATATTCATAATATTAATTGGGCCCAAAACACTCTATTCATAATTTCCAGACTTAGCCCAAACACCAACAACCCACAAATGGCCCAACACAAAGGCCCAAAAGGAAGTCCACAGGAGGAGTACGCTGGGTGTACTCTCCTTGGTACGCGGGGCGTACTACCATGATCGCTAAAATGAAACGGGGCACTGGCCCGCTACGCGGGGCGTACTCGCAGGTTACGCGGGGTGTAACTTCGCTACTCAAAAAGTATTGGCTTAAGCTCTTAAGCCTAAACTTTAGATCCATAGACCAAATATGATTAGAAATCATAAAGTCTCGGACTTTATCACTTGCGACGTCCTTAAGCTCTTAATCCAAGGTCTTAATCCATTAAGACCCACATAACTCATACATGGGATAACTATAGCCCTTGGGACCTCATTTATATCACTCAAGACCTCTCCAAAGGTTTGAAAGGACAGATACACTTGACCAAATCGAACTATGCAACAAGGTGAAGACTTTTGGGACAAGAATGATAACAAAGCTTCAAAATACATAGATCTATGCCATATGAAGGTCACGCAAGAAGCTTTATACCTTAAACCAGCTCCAAAGGGGTGATATTTCAACAGATCTACAAGCTCCACACGTTCTTCTTCTTCTTTGACAACTTCCCTTTTCTCCTTCAAGCCTTTCTTTTGCCAATCCAAGCTTTTCAAGGTCAAACACACTCAAATATGGAGGGAATACGAGATTAGGGTTTCTCTGAGGTTGAAGATGAGCATAAGGGGGCTGAGGGGTGAACCATCATATTCCTTATATAGTGGCTGACCCTAAAAATCGGGTTTGGGATTCCTGTGAGTATGTGGGGCGTACCTCCTTGGTACGCAGGGCGTACTCTGCCAGCTACCCGCAACTATTCGAGCCATTACATTGGGCATACGTCCAGCTTACGCTGGGCGTACCCAGTCACCTTTCAAAATCCAAAAGCATGCATGCATTCTATGCATGCATGGGATACTTTCCTTCTTATTCCGCAAAGGACTATAAACAACGATCAACTTCGAGGCACCGCAACTCCTCTAATCTAAACCCACTCCCAAATAACTTACTTTCATATGAGGGTGACGAGAAGCCCAACCCTTCTAACACATACACTCGTCCGAACCCTTCTCGGATGAAACTCATTTCCCGAAAAGGACCATAATTACATTTCTCTTGAACTTCAGGGACTCATAATTACACACTTGAAGAATGGGGTGTTACAATATGGGTCATTGGTCAACATGGTAGTCGATTATGGTGTCCATGGAGGACATATGGGTCATTGGTCAACATTGTAGTTGCTTATGGTGTGATCGTATCACCCATGGATGAAATACGGGTCATTGGTCAACATGGTAGTTGCTTATGGTGTGATGGTATAACTCATGGATGAAATACGGGTCATTGGTCAACATGGTAGTCGATTATGGTGTCCATGGAGGACATATGGGTCATTGGTCAACATGGTAGTTGCTTATGGTGTGATGGTATTACCCATGGATGAAATACGAGTCATTGGTCAACATGGTAATTGATTATGGTGTACCATGGATTAAATACAGGTCATTAGTGAACATGGTAGTTTCGTATGGAGTGATGGTATCACCCATGGATGAAATACGAGTCATTGGTCAACATGATAGTTGATTATGGTCTCCATGGATGACATATGTGCCATTGGTCAATATGGTAGTTTCTTATGGTGTCCATGGATGAAATATCGGTCATTGGTCAACATGATAGTCAATTATGGTGTCCATGGAGGACATATGGGTCATGGGTCAACATGGTAGTTGTTTATGGCCTGATGGTATCACCCATGGATGAATACGGGTCATTGGTCAACATGGTAGTTGATTATGGTGTTCATGGATGACATATGGTCCATTCGTCAATATGGTAGTTGCTTATGGTGTCCATGGATGAAATATGGGTCATTGGTTAACATGATAGTCGATTATGGTGTCCATGGAGGACATATGGGTCATTGGTCAGCATGGTAGTTGGTTATGGTGTGATGGTATCACCCATGGATGAACTAAGGGTTATTGGTCAACATGGTAGTTGCTTATGGTGTGATGGTATCACCCATGGATGAAATATGGGTAATTGATCAACATGGTAGTCGATTATAGTGTCCATGGAGGACATATGGGTCATTGGTCAACATGGTAGTTGCTTCTGGTGTGATGGTATCACCCATGGATGAATGTGGGTTATTGGTCAACATGGTAGTCGATTATGGTGTCCATGGAGGATATATGGGTCATTGGGCAACATGGTAGTTTCTTATGGTGTGATGGTATCACCCATGGATGAAATGCGAGTCATTGGTCAACATGGTAATTGCTTATGGTGTAATGGTATCACCCATGGATGAAATACGAATCATTGGTCAACATGGTAGTCGATTATGGTGTCCATGGCGGACATATGGGTCATTGGTAAGCATGGTAGTTGCTTCTGGTGTGATGGTATCACCCATGGATGAAATACGGGTCATTGGTCAACATGGTAGTTGCTTATGGTATAATGGTATCACCCATGGATGAATACGAGTCATTGGTCAACATGGTAGTTGATTATGGTGTCCATGGAGGACATATGGGTCATTGGTCAACATGGAAGTTGCTTATGGTGTGATCATATCACCCATGGATGAATTACAGATCATTGGTCAACATGGTAGTTGCTTATGGTGTGATGGTATCACCCATGGATGAAATACGGGTCATTAGTCAACATGGTAGTTGCTTTATGGTGTACCATGGATGAAATATAGGTCATTGGTCAACATGGTAGTTGCGTATGGTCTCCATGGATGAGATATGGGCCATTGGTCAACATGGTAATTGCTTATGGTGTACCATGGATGAAATATAGGCCATTGGTCAACATGGTAGTTGCTTATGGTGTATGTGGTTGATATTTGGATTACATATGGGTCATTGGTCAACATGTATCATTTGTACTGGTTGTGTATTAAAATTTAAAAATTTTCCAATACTTAATTTTGTAGGAAATATTAATTTTTTAAATAATTTTATTAGTAATTTAGGGTCCCCTATTAATCCCCGCTGAGTCTGATTAATCACTTATTGTCAGTCGACCGCCGAGCAACGGACGAGCGATTTTTACAACCTTGATTAAAATAGAAATTGAATTTTCTTTTAAATATGAATTTTTAGAAAAATACCCTTACTAATTAAATACAATTCATTGTATGTATTAGGACAATTTGGTCGTTTTATAATGGAACATCTTCTAGGCGCCATAATGTTTTCCGACGAAACACGTTGTTTCCGCTCTTCACTCTTATTTCAGGTACTTGCAAACAACCCCAATTTCAAAATTCTGACAGTCAAAAAACCCTAAAATCATTTTCGTACAATCATTATCTTAGTGAATGTTTATTATTATGGAAGCCAGTACTTCTTCTAAGAATCAATCAAGAAATCAAACGAAATCGCTAACATACATGACATTTGAAGTGATGGAGAAAAAAATAGTCGACTTGGCAAAAATTCAGCAGTTGAGGCTTTCAGGATGAAGAGTGTGTAAGTTATGCCTTTGATCATTCTATTTCACAAGTGTCTTTGAGTTGTCTTTACATTATGGAGCGAATATTGTGTTTAGTTTTCATATGTAGATTCTTCAACGAGGCAGGAAAAACGGATGAAGTATATAAACATATGGAGTTAGATGGATTACGATTTCGTGTTTGGTCTGACCAGAAACATGCAGTTATCAATAAATGCATAGAGATGAGAAACTAAAATATTCTATTCAGGAATGGATTATTACATTGTTATATATATGCATAGTAGTAATTAATTTGTTACTTGTTTTGCAAAACTTTAACTAGAAATTATGTGTTTACTGTTTTTTCCAGATGAAGTTATTTTTCTTAGAAGCTGAACATGAAGGGAAAACAATACTTGAAGAAGCATCTGCATTGGGACATTTGGATTCAACATTTGTCCTGGGAATGATGTTGATGGCTGAAGGGAGACATAGGAAGCAGGAAGCTTTGGACATGTTGAACAACGCTTACCATAGAGCAAAAGGTAAGTGAAATCTTAGAGCAACTTGTTCTAAGGTTCATCTCCACTTAAATAGGGAGGGGGGAAACATGTACACTTCCATGGCTTCCATAGATCTTGTGCATTGCATAAGTCTGTAGTTAGTGTGTTAGACGCTTTGTGAATGGATACAAATGGGTGTTTATGTGTGAAATTTGTTTATGGGATGCCTGTTTCGTTAGGTTTTCTAGGGACTTTGGTATAATTTATGAGTCGTTTGTTGATATGTACTTTCATATTATGACAATTAATGCTTTGTAGATTCTTTTGGTTTAATATACGAATATATAGTAATTTACTTGATAAGTAATTATTTGATGTTCTTACTTGATTAGTAAATATGTTGTGTTGTTAATAAGGGACTAAAAGAGTTAAAGTTTGGAATGATGTTTAAATAATGTTTGAAAAATGTATTTTGGACTTTTAATATTAGTGTTTATATTGTATTGTGATTATAGTTGTATGTAGCAAATATTTGTTCTTTCCTAGTATTGAAGACATATAAAATACAATTTTAAAGGCATAAACAAACATGTATTTTATTTTGGACTTGGTAATTTGGTTTAATATCAACTAGTGGAGAACCCATGCTTCGCATAGGGTAAAATTGTAAAGGAATAAACATAGGGACTAAAAGTGGCAACAAAGAAAAAGTATTGTAGCTAAAATCAAAGTAAAAAAAGGTTACTATAAACATAGGGACTAAAAGTGGCAACAAAAGAAAACTATTGTGTCTAAAATCTAAAGTAAATAAGTTTACTGTTAAAATATTGTTCCACTTTTAATATGTATATTACTACATGAATATATACTAGTAATTTGGTGAAATGGTAATATAAATGTATTACATTATGGATTATAATATATATGTTATTTTTTTCTTTTTCATTTCAACAATTAAAATTCCAATGTTACCTATCTATAAAATGCTATAATATTTGAATATGTGTTTTGACACAAATATCCTTAGTATTCAAATATTTGGAATGATTTCAGGGGGAATATGGTCTTTTTGCACTCTAATTTGTTAAGGCGCCATCATACCTCTGATGTCACCCCGGCGTTCCAGTTCTTCAACCATTCAGAACATCTCAACTTTTCCGGACGATAAATCTGCATACAAACACTAAAACCCCAAAATCGTCGAAGGATAATCGTTCTCAAAAACGATTTTCTCCGATAATAGAGACTCTTGTACTCCTCTCGACCAGATCAGCATAAAGTAAGTTTTTTTCCATACCCTGTTACACTGTCTTTCATAGTTACGCTTAATTTAAAAAAAAATGAAATCAACTACTCCAATGTGTATTTTGTAAGTAGAATGTCGAATAATAGAAGTCGTTGTTCGTTAGATGATCTCCCATTAGAGCTTTTGAGTCAGATATATGGAGTATTAGGGTCAGAATCTGCGAAAGACATCGTCTCTACAAGACTTTGGTAATTCTCAATAAACATCAACTAATGAATGTATATTTGATGAAATAAAACTTTATTTGTTTGTTATTTACTGTGTATTTAAATTTTTGAAGTTCAAAGAAGATGTATGAAGCAGGTGGGGATCCTCAAGTGTACAAAACAACATGCATTGACATGTTTGAAGGAATGGGTCCCAAAAATCTGAAAGATGATTTATTTATACGCACATGTGCATTTCATAAGTCTTCTGTTCCTTCTGGCAAGGACAATATGGGTGCGCTACATAGTGCTTGCTAAAGCGTTTGAAATGGAGCGTCTTGTTTTCCTTCCCAAATGAAAGTTACACCCTTCTGTGTCACGGTGGTGAGTGGTTTAGCAATGTTCGAGAAGTTTTGTATAAATCTACGGTAATAGCCAGCAAGGCCCAAGAATTATCGAATTTACGTTGGGGTTCTTGGAGCTGACCAGTTCTCGATTGCTTTGATTTTGGAAGGGTCCACATGTATTTTATCTTTGCTAACCACGTGACATAGGAAATCTACCTTCCGAATCCAAAATTCGCACCTGGAGAATTTCGCGTATAACTTCTTTTTTCTTAGAGTTTTCAAGACTCGTTGGAGGTGTTGACTATGATCCTCTTGATTCTTTGAATAAATAAGTATATAGTCTATGAACACAATAACAAATTTATCCAAGAATGGACGACACTCTCGGTTCATTAAGTGCATGAACATCGCCGATGCGTTTGTTAATCCAAAGGGCATCAGTACAAACTCGTAGTGACCTTAACGAGTTGTAAAAGATGTTTTGGGAACATCTCCTTCCAAGACTCATAGTTGTTGATATCTGGATCTTAAAACTTTTTTTTGAGAAATAAATCGCTCCTTGGAGTTGGTCGAACAAGTTGTCAATGCGTGGTAGTGGGTATCGGTTTTTGATAGTAAGCTTGTTAAGTTCCAGGTAATAAATGCACATGCGGAAAGATCCATCCTTCTTCTTTACGAACAAGACCGATGCTCCCCAAGGTGAGAAGATTGGTTTGATGAACCCTTTGTTGAGCAGTTCGTTTAATTGGCTAGATAATTCTTGCATCTAAGCGGGCACCAGATGATACGGTGACTTAGCCACTAGGGTAGATCCTGGAATTAAATCAATTCTGAACTCGACTTGTCATTCTGGTGGGACTCCTGGGAGATCTTCAGGGAAGATATCGGGAAAATCGCAAACATCTTGAATGTCTTTGATGCTCTTCGTTTCTTTTTCCTTATCTACCATGTGGGCTAAGAAGGCATAGTACTCCTTACGTAGGTATTTCTGGGCTTTGACGCTAGAGATGATTTTTAAGTTGGTATCGGGTTTGTTACCATAAATGATAAGAGTTTCGCCACTTGGAAGGTTTAGGTGAATGGCCCTTTCGTGACAAAGAATATTGACATGGTGTAGGCTTAACCAATCCATACCAATGATGACATCAAAGCTATTTATAGTAATCGACATTAGATCGATTTGAAATGAATGTTCGTTTAGAGTTAGTGCGCAACCTATGTACATAGTGTTCGTGCTTTCTCTTCTACCATTTGTCATTTCTACTGTGAATATTTTATTGAGTGTTTTAGGGTTCTATTTTAGTATATGCTTGAATTTATGACTCACAAAACTCCTCTCCGCACCACAATCAAAGAGTATGCATGCATAAGCATTATTGACGAGAAACGTACCCGTAACCACCGTGGGATCAGCTATTGCTTCGTTCTGCCCTATTGCCAGCACTCTTCCTACGCCGCCAGCATTCCTTGCCTTAGGGGAGTCTCTTTTGTAGTGTCCAGCCTCACCGTATCCATAACATGCCTGGCCTACACCGGCTCCTTAGACTTGGGTGATCGGTTGCGCTGGTGCTCTACAGAAACAGACAGTGTGCCCCTTCTTGTTGCAGTAGTTGCAATGCATTTCCCGACAATTTATGTTGTGATGGAAATTGCATTTGCTGCATTTCGAAAGGTTTCCAACATATGGATTTGCTGGTGTAGTGATAATTGGTGCAGCAGTGGGGGCAGTAGCGGCATGGACTGCCACGATCTGTTGTTTCTTGGAAGGTTCCTGTGAAGGTTGACCCTTTGTTTTGTTCCAGAACCTCTTCTTCTTGTTGTTGTTGCTTCCTCTGGGTTGCTCTGGTGCGGTAGTTGCGAAGTTTTGGCAGACCCCATGGTCTACGAGAGCTTGTGCCAACTGTTTCGCGCTATTAAAGGTGATTGGATTGGAAGCTAGAACACTCCCTCAAATCTAGGGTGACAGTCCCCAGATCTACCTTTTGATCTTCCTGTTCTCTAGAGCAACTATTCCTGGGCAAATGATTTCCAAATCACTGAACTTGTTAGTATAGGTCGTGATATCAGAGCCTACCATGGTAAGGCCCCAAAGTTCCTATTCGAGCTTTTGCAATTCGCCCGGTGGATAGTACTCCTGTAGTAAGATTTGTTTTAGTTTCTCCTAGCCCATAGAGTTAGCCACTACTAGCATTAGTGACTTGACATGGCCATTTTACCATGTTAGAGCTCTTTCAGAGAAAGTACAGGCATCAAACTTCACTTTGTTCCCTTCTGGACAAGAACAAATTTCGAAAACCGCTTCAGTTTTCTCTATCTACTGGGATAGAGCCATTCTTCCTACGGCCCCATTGAAAGTAATGGGTTTGCTATTCACGAAATCTTTGTATGTACAATCCCATGGGAGACCTTGACGTTTGTCATTTGTAGAACTATTTACTCCCCCACCAGAACCATTGTTGCTTATTTGTACCATTGCCGCTGTTACTGCAGCCATTACAAACAGCTATTAATGCGGCATTTTCCGTTGTGGGAGGGGGTGATGGTGGAGGTGGTGCATTGTTGACATGGCGTGTAGATCTACGAGGCGTTATTGTGCTGATAAAGAAATAGAATGAAGAACATAAGTTTTTAGTGTGTTAATAAATTTGTAATTTTTATCAATTTATAAATTCGACTGAGCTACCCATGGTTTAGAGTTTGACTCATAATAAAAGTTTGCATAGTGTTAGATAAACTTATGAATCTGAGTGGTAGTCAAAGAATTTACACATGACGGAATTTCTTCATATATATTAAACACATGCTGAGTTACATTTGGAGTTAGGAAAATTTCGACCCTTCTAAGGATCTCTGATACAAAAGTTAAACAAAAGTAAGACTTTTAGCCGAGTTCCTATTCTATAACAAAATTTTGGGACTTAGCAAGCACTACTTGCGACGTAGGTTGCACTTGGAGCTTGACTCTGTGTCTGATTGCTTTGCTTCCATAAGACGCCTATTGAAGGCGGCTTGCTGTTCCCTCATCTCAGAGAGGGCTGCAATCATTTGTGCTTGGAATGCGCTGGCGCGGAGTTAGGTGTCATCCTACAACCTATCCAGTTGACGGATGTCAGAAGTGTGAACTTGTACTTCCACGTTGTCTTCGCGAAGTCAGTTTGCTTGGACCCCGGATTGATAGGACTGGTTGGCTAGTTTGCCCACCATGACCGGGAGTGCTCGGTCGGCTGAACCTCCATCTCTGATTTTGTAGA